CTCCTCCTCCTCCTCCTCCTCCTCCGGCCTTGAGGAAATCACCTGGGCTCTTCTAGTCTTTCTTTCCAATTGGGAAGGACCTGAGTCAAAAGAGAGTCAAACTCCCTCCCTCTCCCTTTCCCCACCTCCCCCCTGTCCCCTCCCTCCCTCTGATCCATCCATCCATCCATCTACCTATCATGTATCTATCTATCTATCTATCTATCTATCTATCTATCTATCTATCTATCTATCTATCTATCTATCTATCATCTATCCATCCATTCATCAATCCATCCATCCATCTATCCATCCATCCATCATCTGTCTATCTCTCTCCGTCTCATCTATCTATCCATCCATCTATCTACCTATCAGCCATCCATCCATCCATCCATCCATCCATCCACCTATCGTCTGTCTCTGTGTCTGTTCATCCATCCATCCATCCATCCATCTATCCATCTGTCTCTGTCTACCTGTCTATCTCTACTGTATATCTATCTGTCTGCCTGCCTGTCTGTCTGTCTGTCGTTCGTTCGTTCGGTCTGTCTGTCTGTCTGTATCTGTCTATCTATCTATCTCTACTGTATATCTACCTACCTACCTACTACCTACCTTCCTACCTATCTATCATCTATCTATACATCCATACATCCATGCATCCACCTATCGTCTGTCTGTGACTGTCTGTCTGTCTATCCTCTCTCTCCCTCTCTCCCATCCATCCATCCATCCATCTATCATCTTTCCGTCTGTCTATCTATCTCTATAAGTCCTCCCTGAAAATATTGCAGCAGCCATGAGGTGACCACGCTCTCCGCCTCCTGCACCTCAAAAATAATAAGACCTCCCCAAAAATAAGGCCAAGCACTTATTTCAGGGGTCAAAAGAAAATAAGTCCCTGTCTTATTTTCAGGGAAGCACAGTATCTATCTATCTAACCATCCATCCATCCATCCATCCATCTATCTCTCTCTCTCCTATCTAGTCAAAGCACACATCTTCTCCTTCCTTTTCTCATGCAACAAACGATCTCTCATAGAGGAAGTCCTTGACTTACAACCATTCATTTAGTGACCATTCCAAGTAGCAACAGCACTGCAAAAAGTGACTTAGGACTGATTTTCACCTGTCCGTCGCAGCATTCCCGTGGCCATGTGATCCAAATGTAGGTGCTTGGCAACTGGCATGTACTTATGACAGTTGCCGTGTCCCGATCTCCTTTTGCGACCTTCTGACAAGCCAGATCCACTTAACGAGGGTGTCGTTAACTGCAGCGGCTCCCTTAACAAGGGGGGCAAGAAAGGTGGGGCAAAACTCATCAACTGTTTTGCTTAAGGTAAAGGTTCCCCT